ATTGGGCCTCCATCTGTGTGCAATAAAATAGTGAGCAATCATTACTGGATGATAATTACTTTATTATTACTCATAAAGTGATCGATTTTCTTATTTATAAAAGCTTCCTTTTGGGTGGCACAGTGGTTAGTCATTACTGCCTTGCAGAGCTGGGGTGTTGTCTGTATGGATTTCATATATTCCTCCCATGTTTGTGTGGGATTCCTCCGGCTATTCCCAGTATCTAAACACATGCTGGTAGATTAATTGGCCTGTTGAAAGATTTTCTCCCAGTGATGGACCGGTGCCCCATCTAGTGTGTGTTCTGCTTTGCACCACTGCCTGTGAAGATACTGTATGTAGCAGCTCCTCTGGATACCTAATATGATGGTTATAAAATGGACAGATGGAAATGTTTACTTTCTACTTAAAAATTTAATCTTAAATACAGTTTAACTAGTCATTCAATCAAGGATATGTTGATGATCATAGTTTCATTGAAATTGTCTTGCTTAGAACAAATGCAATGTGTAATTGAAAATCAGTTAAAAAATCAACAACAATCCATATTCTGGAAGGGTTTGACAAAATCAATCCAAAACCTTCTTTTCAAATTCAAATAAGAACTGACTGAGAGTCATATACTGTCTTAACAGTTCAGACAGGGTTATCATTAATGATGATCAAGTCGTGAGTACTTTCCAGTGTACAAATGTTAAGGGAACTGGTCCTGAAAATATAATTGTGAAGTTCTTTGCAAGAGAATTAGCTCCGGTGTGGCAACCAATTTTCCAGATGTCTGTAGCCATGCATACTATTCTTTTTAATGCGGACTACCATATTATAACTCTTTTTAAGAACCTGTCCACGAGAATGTGTATAATGGAGAGAGGTAGAGAGGAATAAAGAATATAACAGCAGTTACATATAGAAGTCGATAAAGTACAGTAAGAAAGGAAACTTTTTTTTATTATATAAGAGGGGAGAAATGAAATAACAATGAATGAAACGTTTTAAATCCCTATAATTAGAATAGTAATAGTATAACATATACTTACATATATAGTACAGTAAATAAATAAGAGAATTACTTTAATTTAAAATAATTTTTAAATTTATACCATAAATACATTCATTTCTCAACACTGTACTGTGGACTTATTAAACAAACTAGCATACAGTAAGTAATAAATATATGAATTTCCTGACATGCAGTATGGATTACTCACAATTTTCAATGATAAGTATGAATTAACATTCAGAGGCTGCTACATACGCATAAAAGCAAAGCAAGACAAATGGAAAACAGCCCTGTTGGATGCTGGAGTTGACTGTGTTACGTTTACTCTCCACTATTTGTCTGTAGAAGGAACTTGTTGCATTATTACTCTTTCTGAATGTAATCTAAACTTCCCTTACCTTGAAAACTTTATCATGGGACCCACAGGAGGTTTTAACATATAGTCGATTTTAACCAAGTTGAGTCTTGGAATCCAGGGAGAATTTTTCTTGTAATGCATTTATTTCTGTAAGATTATTTCAGATGTACAATTTCCCCACTCTTCATCTATGATCATAGCCTTTCTAGAAGTCTTAGTGTATTGGGTCATATACCATAGTGCCCACGTTTTAGCAGTTGGCATTACATATGCTGTTATCCAATTTCTGCTTTCATATTTCATCTGTAGTGAGAATTGAAATATCCTATTAAAGCCTGAAATTACTGTGGAGTTGCGCAACTGGAATATCAGTTGTGTTAAATTTACCCAGTATTGATGGAAATCCTTCTATAACATGGGACATTTTATTGCCATCTCATGTAAAACCTTTATATGAAAATACGAATTTAGCATTGTTATGGTTTCTTTTAAATCTTCTATTATTAATCCCTTTTTGTCTCAAACTATTTATTTAACCTTTTACTGTTTTTTACTGTCCTGATAGTACTGAATAAGTGTTTTGGATATTTGTTTTCTACCATTGCAATAACCTTCTGTCTCCTTTTTGATAGTTGCAATATAATTTTTCACCTGTAGCTCAGTGTACTTTTTCAGTCTTTGAATATTGGGATTTAAGCCAGAATAGTCTGTAGAATGCTCTTTAACATTTTTTCTTAATTTCTGCATTAAATAATTATTATTTTCTCAGATTATTTACTCAATTTACCTAGACACATACATATTTTAAGAATATTTTTTTAAAGAATTAAACATTTTAAAATATAACTGTGAATTAGGTATCCATCTTTTTCCAGTTTACCATTTGCAGATTCATTGCACTCATAAAGCCTCCAGGTTTTTTTTACCTTCCAATTATGAAACTTGTATTATAAGTATATGAGTATATAGAACCCTGTAGGTTACTGTATACCACCAATATAATTTCTGCTTGTAGCCTCTTTTTATTCAGTTCTTTAGCTTCTACATGATTTTTTATTTGAGGTCCTATCCATACCACCCATTGTTTCCTGCCTGTTTTCTGAAAGAAAATACTTTTTTTCTCTAGTCATCCTTCCATAGATGTTTTTCAGTTAGGCCAGGTTATAATTACTTAGCAATGAAGTGGCCTTAAATTATTGCTGATATAATTAGAGAATTAAGGTTATTTGGTTTAAGTTTAGTGTTGGCATATTTACCTGGTCTGACTGCAACAGTATGAGCTCAGTGTTCTGTAGTTGAATTACTCCTTGAGTACTCTATAGAGTGTGACAATCCATTGAGTGTGTCATAATGGGATCTTTAAAATAGAGTGGGTCCAGACCAGCAGACACACTAAACACACAGTGCAGAGAAAAAGAAAATATACCACAACCAAACAAAAACAAAAGCCTAAGCTCCCTCTTGAGTTCCTGACTAACTTCCTTTCAAAGTCCCTATCCATCATAGGCCTTCTTCCTCTGGTGGGTGCAGCACACAAAGGGTCTGCCTTCTGTACTCCAGAATGCAGATATTATTCCAACTGACACCTGCTACAACTGGTCAGGTGACCGACAAAAGTAGCTCATTCCCCAGACGTTTTCTAGGGAATGTGGCCCAGACAGAGCTGCACTCTCACAACATGCAGTACAGTGCCTTGCAAAAGTATTCAGATCCTCTGATGGTATCGCATTTTGTGTAATTGAATAACAAATAAATAATAAATGTTATAGTTGATGTACACTGAATGTTGACGTTAGAAAATCATTTTTGCAATGCCTGAGTAAATGATCAATCTTCTCTACCATGTCAGATCAATTCAGACATATATATATATATTAAATTTTTGTTGGGTAGCTATGCAGGTTTTTGTGTTGTATCAATAAATGTATCAAGAAAATCTGTGTGCAGCATATGTTTACTTTGTTTGGTTGTTTCAAGACCTGTGTAACTTGCTGTTCTAATTTATAATTGTTTTAGTAAATTAAAAACTCTTGTATCATTAAATTATTTTTAAACTATAAATTAATTTAGGTTTCTTACAGCAAAGGATTTGAATGCTTATGTAATCCTGAGTTTTCCATTTTTCTTTCGGATTATTCAACAATTTACTTCTTTCTTCTTGGTTTTGGATTGAATATGTGAACTAGGTTGTGCATATAACAAATATTACTTGCTCGTTCAAAGTGCCATGACTGCAAGCATTAAAGCAACAAAATGGAGAACTGTGCAAGGGGTATACATACTTTTCCAAGGCACTATATTATTCTCGATTATATTGGTGTCCCACTGGTTCATGTGCAATTTGATCCACTTTTTTCCCAGGTGGACCAGTAATTAAATTACTTTTTTAATTAAATGACACTAATTGATTGAAGTTATATTTAGAAAGTTGTCTAATAAAAGTGAAAGACAAAAATCAATTTGTTTTCCATCTAATATATGTAAATCTATAAAAGTTAATTAACATTTTCTAAATATTGCCAATAAGGATTTCTGTTCCAGATAGGAAGACTGCTTACACCATGAGCTACAATTTTCATTACTGTAAGAGTAGAAAAATGAGTATAGGCATTAGCTATTGAAATAGGTCAAAGCTGCAGTCCACTCTGCTGTTTCTCTGGTATTTCCCTGAGGCATTGTTTTTGTGTAAATTATTATGAAGTGTAAATAACCAGAGGGGAGAGAAGAAGCTCTCCAACTCAATTGATTTCTGTTCAGTCATTCAGATATTTGCAATATGAAGTTGTCTCCAAAATATGTGAGCCTTCCCAACAGTTAAATAAATACAATGAGCAGCATGATAATAAAGCAAAATGCAAATAATGTATGCACTATATTATCAGCAATGAATTGTAATATATGTTCTTAGGTGGTATTTTGTACACATCATTACAATCAGGAAAAGATCACAGATAATCTGACTCTCAAAGCTGAAATGTCCGGTTGTTTAAATATGACTGTTGACTGGGTAGTAGCATTTCAAACCAATAATCCATCCATCCATTTCTAAACTCTTATATCCAGTACAGGGTCATTGGGGGAACCAGAACCTAATCCGGCAAGCAATGGGCATAAAGTGGAAAACACCCTGGATAGGACAACAGTACATTGCAAGGCACACACAGACACAAACATGCACAAACTCACACCAAGGCCATTTTTTACAGACGTCATTTAACCTACCAGCATGTCTTTGAATTTTGGGAGAAGACTGGAGCATCGTGAGGAAATTCACATGAATACGGAAAGAACATAAAATCTCCATGCTGATAGCACCTAAGAAACTGCACCTAGGGTCCCAGTGTTCCAAGGCAGCAAAGCTACTGAAATTACTGCACCACTATGCCATCCCAAAACCATAATCTTTCATTGAAAATGGATTGTCTCCATTTTGTCCTTGCATTACACTTACATTAATTTTACAATCCATGTAATTAATGTTCATATACACTGTAGAGTGAAATGGGAATTTGTTTTACATTTATTAATAGATGCAGTCATCCTTTGGATTATATCATGTATTGCCTTCATCCTTTCCTTCTACAAGAAAAGTAATTCGAAATTATAATTAAGTAATTATAACATTTTTTGTTGTTGTTTCAGGACATGGAACAAAAGGCGTTTTTGAACTTCTTGCTGGTTGGAGAAGGACAAGGGAAAACCTGCCCTTCAAAGAAAGAGTAGCAGATGCCTTTGCTGATGTGATGGTGTGCTACACCATGACCAGTTCCCTGTACATCATTACCTTTGGAATGGGAGCCAGCCCCTTCACCAACATTGAATCTGTGAAAATATTCTGCCAGAACATGTGTGTTACAATTCTTGTGAACTACTTTTATGTCTTTTCTTTTTACGGCTCCTGCTTGGTTTTTGCAGGTCAGCTGGAGCAAAACCGGTATCACAGTGTATTCTGCTGTAAAATACCTTCTGCAGAGTACCTAGAGAAGCAACCCACCTGGTTCAAGACCATGATGAGTGACGGGCATGACATTTCCACTCATCATGACAGCATTCCTTATCAAAATCACTTCATTCAGCACTTTCTGCGAGAACACTACACGGAATGGATTACAAATACTTATGTCAAGCCTTTTGTTGTGATATTATACCTGATTTATGCATCATTTTCATTTATGGGATGTTTACAAATTAGTGATGGGTCAAACATCATTAACCTTTTAGCTAGTGATTCACCAAGCGTCTCCTATGCTCTTACACAGCAAAAATATTTCAGCAACTACAGTCCTGTGATTGGGTTCTATATTTATGAGCCAATAGAATATTGGAATACCACTGTTCAAGATCATCTGAAGACTTTAGGTCAGGGGTTTAATAAAATATCTTGGATTGATCATTACTTTCAGTATTTAAAAGTTGTTAACATCAGCGCATCAACCAAAAATGACTTCATAACTGTCCTGCAGAGTTCATTCTTAAGGAAACCACAATTTCAACATTTTAAGGACGACATTATTTTTTCCAAAACAGTGAATGAGGTTGATATCATTGCATCCAGGATGTACATGGTAGCCAGAACCACAGAGAAAACAAGAGAGGAGGTTTTGGAATTGTTGGAGAGACTGAGGCCACTTTCTCTCATCAATAGCATCAAATTTATAGTGTTTAACCCTACCTTTGTGTTTATGGACCGATACAGTTCCTCTGTCATTTCCCCAATCCTGACCTCTGGATTTAGTGTCTTGATTGTTTTAATCTTGACATTCTTCTTAGTGATTCACCCTCTTGGTAACTTTTGGTTGATACTGACAGTAACCTCAGTAGAGCTGGGAGTTCTTGGCTTAATGACATTATGGAATGTAGACATGGACAGCATATCTATTCTGTGCCTTATTTACACTTTGAATTTTGCAATGGATCACTGTGCACCCCATCTTTATACTTTTGTATTAGCCACTGAGCACACAAGAACTCAGTGCATAAAGATCTCATTAGAGGAGCATGGATCAGCCATTTTGCAAAATACATGTTGTTTTCTCATTGGTTTGATGCCCTTAGTGTTTGTGCCTTCAAACTTGACCTTTACGCTGTTTAAATGTTCTCTTCTTACTGCCGGTTGCACAGTTCTACACTGCTTTGTCATATTACCTGTTTTTTTAACATTTTTTCCTCCATCCAAAAAGAGACATAAGAAAAAGAAACGTGCAAAGAGAAAGGAAAGGGAAGAGATTGAATGCATTGAAGTCCGAGATAACCCTGACCATGTAACCAATGTTTGATGTATTGTGGTTGAAGAACAAGTGGAAAACAATAGAGCATATCACATTCAAAACTGGGGTTAAAATGCAGCACTTCACAGGGTTTATGAGCAATAGTGTTGCCCTTTTCTATGTTATAATGACCAATTCACAAAACAAACATATAGTATTTAATAAGTCAATTCTCATAATCCACCAGTGTTTCAACTTTAGGAATAGAACGGTCTTGCGACAGAGGTGAAAAGTAATTATTTGATTCATCATAAGCAACACAAATACCTGGTGTAATATTTTTCTCCACTTAATACCTTTAAAGCTGTTGGGTTTTAATTTTTTTCTTTCTCCTATCATAGCCTAAGAGAACTTCTTTAAGAAATGTCATTCCACAGTTGTACTGTACGAATATAAAAGTAATAATCCAAGTATATAAAGTAAAAGTGAATCATATATAACATACACAGTGTACTGGGGTTGAAAAAAGGAACTGTAGTAAGAGGGAAAAAAACATGATATACACCTTAACTGATGATACATTAGCAGAATGCATTTTATGGTTAATGGTCCATTTATTTTTTTGTTATTTTAGCATGTGTATACAAATCTTATGATGTTGTTTTTTAATCCTTCTTTGACACAATTGTATTAGAAGTATTATAGCATAATGCATTTCCTTTGCCTTAATGCATTTCATTAGTTGAATTAGGGTTTGTAGAATACTGATAAGATCTAACAGAAAAATCATTTTAAAAATGCAATGATACTGAGTTTCAACTAATCTTTTTGGTTTGTTTAAACAGCTTAATCCATAATCCATCAGTGAAGATGATCCCAAACATCTCATATCGTATTACTTAATTGCCTCAACAGAAATATGAGTGCCAGATTAGACTATTGTGAAGGCTTGAAACCTATGGAAGATAAAGGCAGTAGTTATATAACAATATAACCAAGACAGGAGGCTTGAAATTTGTGCAATCAGTGGGGTGCTTGGACATTAGCACAGTGAACTCTGTGTGTGTTTTTATATTCTGCAATAGAAATGAATTCATATGGTTTTCAATAGACTCATGAATGATGAACAACATTGCAATGTACTGTACAAGACCTACATTGAACAAATTTATCATTACACTCTACAGGTGTTCTAAAATACCAAATTATCTTAATTCAATGTAAATTGAACTACAAGGTCTGTCATAACATTCTTTTAGGATTGAAAAAGAAAACAAAAATGGCATATTTAATATTAAAAATAAGTTAAACTTAAAAATAAACATGATGTGTCATATACTATATACATTAAGTTTAAATTAAAACCTACATTATTTTTATCTCATGATTATTATTAGAAACAGATGTGAGTAGAATAACTACAACATCTGTCACTGGCAGATGATTATCATCTTTAATTTGTATTTCTAATAGATGCCGGATTTCATTTGTTTATAACAGGAAAGCATGACAGATATTTTACTATTAATATGAGAAAACTAATATATCCCCAAATTGACTATGAATGCATGGCACTATGTTAGATGTGTGCATGAATCTCTTTAGTGCAAGTAGTCATTTTAGCTAATAGAAATATTTTCTTTCTCCATTTTAAATGGATACTCTACAGGTGAGCATTCGACATAAGCATCTATTGTAACTTTTTGTACAGAAAGTATACAAAAGTATTTAACATTTACAAGCCAACAGCAGAGGAAATATTACTTTAAAACATGTAAATTAATTGTATATGACTTTATAATTTTTTCTAAGAAATTGTATTTTATACTTAAATTCCTACTTGTAAAGCAATAAAGTAAAATTTTGAAAATTCAGAAGGAGTAGGCCTGTAATAACACATGAAAGATTAAGACTTCTAAATTGGCATGTATTATTGCACACAATAATGAAAATTAATTAAAAGTAGAAATATACTGTATTTGGTGTTTAGAATTAGAGTTTTGGACATTTTTAAAAATATATCAACAGCTGGTTTTAATATTGATGTTCAAACTCTTCCTACTGTGCATAACACTTTCTCTTAGGGTATCATTAAAGCATTGTTCAGTTATACACATGATGTTTTTATCATCATAATATTTTAAAAAGACAAAGCAGACACTGATCTTGTGCCAAGCAAAATTATTTATATAGAACATTTTCAAAACTCGAATTCATGTTTGACAAAGAAAAGGACCATGAGGTTTAAAGCTATTCTGCCAAGCTTTTTTTAACGTTAAAAAGTTCTTTCAAATTCGACCTGGAAATAGATACTCCAATTTTCAGTAACAAGTAGTAGATTAAAGTATATAAATGTATTAGTTCTGGTGGGTAGCTGGGTCAGCATGCGTAGGCTGCAGAGGAACAAGTAATGGGTTTTTCCATGCTGAAAAGAGAAGAGAGAAAGCACAACGCTTCGGCTGTGAAGCCTTAGGCTCCTATAGGTTCCTATAAATATATTAAACTTCTACAAGCAAAAAAGAGAAAATATAAAAACAAAACCTGACAGGATCAAATTACACTTTATAAACATCAATGTTTCCCAGTAAACTACCAGGCACAGTTTATCACACTTCAAAAAATATATATTTTTATTTTTATAGTTTGATACATTTTACATATTCAGATCTATTAGGTGTTTAAATATAATAATATTTCCCTTTAAATTCCATCATCTCGTCATGTTAATTAGAATGTGCCTAAACTACTTAATGGACAAATGACTACACACTGTAAGGGAAACACTGCAAGGGAAATAATGATCTGTTTTTGCCTCTAGATTTCCTTTCCAAACTATTACATACCTGTAAATTATACTAAAATATAATTGTGACCTTTTGTAATTATTACCTATTTTGAATTAACTAAAAAAATGATTTGTGAAGTTCTGCTATTAGACTTAAGAATGTCATCCTGCATTATATTATTTAAATTCAGAAACTATTCTGATGTCAGAATGTTTTGCATTTCATCCAGTTGAATTTATACTAATCAGTCTACATCTTTAAAAACAGTAATGAAATGCATATTAACCTTTTATGACCAGAACAATCTGTATGGTTCAGCTAATCAAAAAAAACTATATATTTATTCATTCAGCATCAGAAATGTTGACACTATAGTGGTAATGAGGAAAAAAGACAAAAAAACTTTAATGATCTTGGGCATAAAAAAGTCTCAACTTTTACCTTTATTTTAAACATTTAAGAAAAGAAAAAAATGGGTGGTCCCATTCTGATAATAAATGTTTATTTTAAATAGCTATCTACTAAAAGTGCTGTGAAAATTTGGTACGCATAACATGCAGTCAAACAAAATGAAAACATTTAACATCTACCTCATTTTACTGTTCTACAAGTCATCGCAATTCTGAGACATTTTGAGAAAGATAATGCTTGAAAATGGAAGCAGGTGTACATATACAGTATATTGTACAGTAGTCCAGGTGGGTAGCTGCGTCAGCATGTGGAGGCTGCAAAGGAACAAGTAATATGTTTATTCCATGCTGAAAAGAGAAGAAAGAAAATACAAGGTTTTGGCTGAGGGGCCTACTTCAGGTGTGAGGAATTGTACCATATTGTACAGAATGTGCATGCATACAATGTTGGGAGGCTTACATCTTCCTTTACAAAACATAGAAATACATAATACATTTCGAAATATAATCTCTACACTACTCAAAGCAAGTGGCATAATTAGATTCCTTTTTGGATTACTTCAGGTATTATATTTCTGCTTGGTGGTACACAAACAAGCAAAGAAAGAGAAACATCCTAATGTTGACCCTTGGAAAATGTAGTATGTTCTTTGGCTTCATACTCTTTTATGCCTTAGCATTAATCTTGTAACCACGTGAATCCTGGGATGCACTAATGTAAAGTACTAAATATGTTAAAACAAATCCTTAAAATAATTTGGTTGGCAGCCTCGCACAACATAAAGCTACTAAGGCAATCTTATGTATTGATGATATTCTCAATGTGGAAATACAGAATTTACCCATTTCATTCAGGATGTTTATTTCTTTTTTGTGTGACTTGAGACCCCAGTTTTTAAAAGAGAGATTACAGCAAATCTGAGTTTAATTATTTTAGTTTTTTCTTTTGGTAATAGGATACTCTGAGATGCAATGGCAGCTTCATATTTATGAGGTGTATTATAAAAATATTCTTGTGATGTGACTTGAAAAAGTTTTGTAGCCTTATTTTGAATCTCAGTGATTTCCGGAGTTCTTTAAACAGAACCCGTGTAGTAATAATGGGAACTGGCGGGAGTGATGCCACCCATTGTACAACATGTAATTATTTAAGTAATTTTACCTGTTATACACTAAACTTACAGTACTTTTGAGTTTTGTTTCAACATCATTTATTGTGGCATATTTTAAGTACTGAAATATACACATTTTACTGATGTGATTTAAAAAAAAGTTTATTTACTGTGATGAACTGTTGACTCTCTTTATGTTCAAAGATTAGACCACCGTCACTGAGTGGGCTTTTTGGCTTTACACTGGGAAGCATTTTATACTGCTTTTTAACATATTATCATAAGTCAGTACCGGTACGTGATGTCTGATTATTTGTAATTATATATTTACAAAATAACTCCTTAAATTCATAGTTTATACCTAGAATGAGCTTCATAAATTGTATTGCGTTTCAAGTGAATACATGTCTGAAATTTATAATATAGGTACATGCTTGCACTTTTTGTCACCTTGACAATGAAACAATTACAGCAGTACTGTTGGAAATTGAGTTAGAATTTGAATTAAGTTAGAAGTTAGATTGAGTTAGAATCTGTATAACACTTCTGCGTCATTTTGGAATGGAAGTGTTAAAGACATGGCATTTGATTACACTTAACAACAGTTCAAGTTAAGAAGTGAAAAAAATACGATAGCAAATAAATTTAGGAATAAATGTAGGAAATTGAATTCCTTTATGAAATGGCCTCTTATTTAGACAAGCAGCCAAATCGTGCACATAACAGAAGTTTGCTTCCTGATCAATTCTCAGAGTACTGACCATTGTTGCTCTGTATTGCAATCTTATGACTCAAAACCTTTCAATAGGTGCTTCACATAATCTCAAAAAAAGATTTTGCAGACATATTCTCTATATTATAGATGATAAGATTTAAGTATCAATAAGAGTCATTCTAAATTTTTGTGAATCTGAATATGACGACACTATTACCTGTACTATTACTTGTTTATCATGCACCTATTTATGGTTTCTGGATTTTTTTTATTTGTATTACCACAAAAAGTGCATTTTGAAATACCATCTTGGGAAAATAATTTCAAAAGTAAGTTGTCGTGAAAGACCATTCAGAACATTCCGATTTGTTAAGAGTAGAGAGTAGAATAGTTTATTGCCATATGTACAAAATAGATATGTAGTAATGAAACCAAAAAAACTCCAAAACATTTTAGACCATGCAAAAATTGCGTAGTGCAGATATGTATTAAGGCACTGCAGTTAGCTGTTGAGGATGCATACTGCAGTGGGATAGAAGCTGTTCTTTAGTCTAGTGGTCCTTGCTTTAATAGTGGTCCAGTGATTAGTGATTGTTAGTGATTTCACAATGAATACAAAAGATTGGAATAAGGCAGGAATAAGACTTCAAGGTACCTTCTCATCGATGAAAACTTATATTAATTAGATCACCAATATTTGTTCTGTTGAAATAGAATAATGTAATATTATTATGAAAAGACAGGGTTTATAAAATACTATGATGTAATCAAATCAATAAAATAAGGTCTTGACACCAGTTTGCTATGCAAGTGAATTCTAATTATTTATAATAATTTTACCCCTGTAGTCATAAAAAATAAGTGTTATACAGTTTGTGATTTCTATATTCTCCAAAACAGCTTAATAATGGAATAATAATAAGTCAGTGATCTTAATAAAGCAGAAAAATTCATACAATAAATAACACCAAATACACTGTAAAAAGAGTCATAGCTATACAATACATTTAAATATTTATAAGTCTATGAGTTAGTTCCAGAGAACTAACTGCTTTCTACATATAAATATTCAGAACTGTATCCTTATAATCTAATCACAAAACACCTTCAAAAGGTTTCAACAAAATTATCCTGTTCAGAACTAAATCCCCTTAAAAAATAAGTAGTAACCAACTTCCTTATTTTAATCAAACAATTGATCACTATCACAGGAGCAATGCTTT